AGTATGTGTATAACTCTAGTCATCAACAATCAGAACAGATAATCACGATTAACCACGATAAAATCAGCATTTTCTTATAACTTGGAAATGTCTGCGCCACAATGGCGATTTCGGCAACATGGGGGTGGGGGTAGCAATGTCACCATTACTCAGTCCATATTTATAAGTAAGACCTCATTTTTGGTATGTAGTGACTGCAATGAATGGGGAAAAAGTTGATATATTGCATGATGTGATAGCATTATCCTTTTTTTGATAACCAGTGAAGTAAAGACGAAACATATGAACAAATGATTAAAATCGAGGTGAAATTTGGTATTTTATAATTATAAATCATTTCTGAATGTTCTTTAAACATATTTCTTTATCTAATTAGGTCAAGACATGTCTAATGTTGGTCTGGAATGCATGTGATGACGGCCATCGTCACCTACAATTGATTTGAAACAAAAATGTATATTTTCATATTTTTGCTATAAAATAGGGGGATGCATGTACAAAATTGGCCACAATTATTTTTCGCAAAGCTTCCGACAGAGCAGACCTCTCAATTGTCTCACCTTAATGTCCAAACTAATAGAAAAAACACATTTAAAAAGTATATAGCGCCGTGTCATGTCCTTTCCAATTTTGGGGGTCTGGATCCCCGACTAATAAGATATAACTTAGAAAATGATGATAATGTGTATGTTGGATTTTTTAGGTAGCAATAAAGCTTTTGATACGGTATGGCACGCAGGCCTGCTATACAAACTTTATGAAATTGGCTTGAACTTGAAAGTATGGAAATTACTGAAAGGAGTATATACTGGTGTCAAAAGTTGCATTATTTTTAATGGATTACAATCAAGATGGGTACCCATGGAGAGAGGTATTTTACAAGGGAGCGCATTATCTGCGAAAATGTATTTAGTTTTTATTAATATGTTGCTGAAAAATATTGAACAGAGTGGCAGGGGGTCAATGATCATCGACATTAGAGTTAATATACCCACTCAAGCTGATGATTTATGCCTCGTAAGCAATAAATTTACTGATTTGGAATATATGCTACGGATGTGTGAAGATTATAGTGAAAAATGGAGATTTTTGTTTTCTAACACCAAAAGTAAGATTATGTATTTTAATAAGAAAGAAAAAAGTGAAATGTGCTACTAGTTTATATGTATTTGATAATATTATACCGGAAGTGGAAGATATTGTTCACGTTGGTATTATGTTAAATAATAAATTCCAAACATATGAACGTACAATGCGTGCTTGTAGCAAATTAAAAAGTGGTACAATGAGTTTAATTAAGAGTGGTGCACATCCTTGTGCGTTAAATCCAGTTACTGCCGGGAAAGTTATCAAACAAGTTTTTGTTTCGAAATAAATCTTTGCGCTCTTTCCAACAAAAGTAAGGTTTTAGCAACAGAACACGTACTGGTTTGTGCTATGGATTGATTGGATGGACATCCATAGAAAGATATATAGATATAAGAAAATTGTTGTTTTTTGGAAGGTTGTGTTATTTAGATAAAAATACATTGTCATCACATATATTTTTAAGAAGACTATACGCATCAATGCTGAACAGATCTGGTGACCATTTTGGACTTTCAAATGATATTTTGAGAATTTTTAAAAAGTACTATCTTTATAATATGTTGAACAAGTATATTTGAACGAGTGTATTCCCATTAAAACGGCAATGGAAAATAATTGTGAATAAATCTGTGTTGTTGAAAGAGGAACATGATTGGAAAGAACGAATGTCAAATGATAGTAATTTTAACAGATTTGTAATGGTTCATAATATATTGCAACCACATATACTATAGAAACTGGCAAAGAAATTCCCGGAGTTTAAAGATTCCATATTATATGTTACGTAATTAATAGTAAATATTCGTACTGGTAAAGCCAAAGAGCTATGTCATAGATATGGTATTATTTACCAAGATATATTAACTCATATCATATTAAAGTGTAGCTATACTGAACACCTAAAGGACAAGTTGTTGTGCTCTATCGCAAACGTTAGTGATACTGGTATTCTGCTGAGTGCGTACATGCACTCTCTGACAGATCACGAATTAATTCATATTTTAATTGGGGGACAAATGACTTACGAATTGAATGTATTAGATATGAATGAATTTAGATTGAAATCAGTAGCATCTGTCGAAAAGATGCACAAATTATACTACCGGTAGTGTGTAGATATAATCTCACATCCTGATAAAGATTAATATAAATAAAATAAATATAAAAAATAATATGAATGTTTAATATGATATGTATGTATTACCTCATCATATATACACTTATTAATGATATTTATTGAATGTANAGAGTTAATATACCCACTCAAGCTGATGATTTATGCCTCGTAAGCAATAAATATACTGATTTGGAATATATGCTACGGATGTGTGAAGATTATAGTGAAAAATGGAGATTTTTGTTTTCTAACACCAAAAGTAAGATTATGTATTTTAATAAGAAAGAAAAAAGTGAAATGTGCTACTAGTTTATATGTATTTGATAATATTATACCGGAAGTGGAAGATATTGTTCACGTTGGTATTATGTTAAATAATAAATTCCAAACATATGAACGTACAATGCGTGCTTGTAGCAAATTAAAAAGTGGTACAATGAGTTTAATTAAGAGTGGTGCACATCCTTGTGCGTTAAATCCAGTTACTGCCGGGAAAGTTATCAAACAAGTTTTTGTTTCGAAATAAATCTTTGCGCTCTTTCCAACAAAAGTAAGGTTTTAGCAACAGAACACGTACTGGTTTGTGCTATGGATTGATTGGATGGACATCCATAGAAAGATATATAGATATAAGAAAATTGTTGTTTTTTGGAAGGTTGTGTTATTTAGATAAAAATACATTGTCATCACATATATTTTTAAGAAGACTATACGCATCAATGCTGAACAGATCTGGTGACCATTTTGGACTTTCAAATGATATTTTGAGAATTTTTAAAAAGTACTATCTTTATAATATGTTGAACAAGTATATTTGAACGAGTGTATTCCCATTAAAACGGCAATGGAAAATAATTGTGAATAAATCTGTGTTGTTGAAAGAGGAACATGATTGGAAAGAACGAATGTCAAATGATAGTAATTTTAACAGATTTGTAATGGTTCATAATATATTGCAACCACATATACTATAGAAACTGGCAAAGAAATTCCCGGAGTTTAAAGATTCCATATTATATGTTACGTAATTAATAGTAAATATTCGTACTGGTAAAGCCAAAGAGCTATGTCATTGATGTGGTATTATTTACCAAGATATATTAGCTCATATCATATTAAAGTGTAGCTATACTGAACACCTAAAGGACAAGTTGTTGTGCTCTATCGCAAACGTTAGTGATACTGGTATTCTGCTGAGTGCGTACATGCACTCTCTGACAGATCACGAATTAATTCATATTTTAATTGGGGGACAAATGACTTACGAATTGAATGTATTAGATATGAATGAATTTAGATTGAAATCAGTAGCATCTGTCGAAAAGATGCACAAATTATACTACCGGTAGTGTGTAGATATAATCTCACATCCTGATAAAGATTAATATAAATAAAATAAATATAAAAAATAATATGAATGTTTAATATGATATGTATGTATTACCTCATCATATATACACTTATTAATGATATTTATTGAATGTACTTCGATGTAATTAAGTCTGTATATGTCATGTATGTTATTTGGTGCTTATGTGTATTCAAATTTTTTTTTGTAATGTAAATATGTGCGCATTATTCTGTTTAAATGTAATCTTCAAATTGGAGGAAATAAAGAGAATAATAGATTATTGAAATCAAATACGATTAAGTTTTGAAATATTTAAACCACCGGCGATCCACCATAATCTGGATATAGTTACCCATTATCAAACTGGAATAAATTAACGATGAACTGAGTTGGTATTGAAACAAATTTAATGAACAGCGAGTTAATATGTTGACTTTGTATCAAGACCAACTCAATTCATCACCTCATGAAATCGACTAAAGCAAGATCCAATCCTCAAATTTCAACTAACCCGGTTTTTGTTCAATAATTTGAACTTGTAAAAGTTTATTCTGATAGTTTGTCCAAGATTCTGGAGCTTGTGCAAGTGTACGCATCGACGTAATGTAAAAACTAAAAGAAAATAAGTTAGTCCGTCATTGAAGGACCATCATACAACATGATGGTGTACAGCTAAATTATGAAGAAACAAAATACAAAAACATATTTAAATGTCATATTTACGGTTTTAATCATCGTGACTTCATTCCTTATTTCATAATCTCTTGACGAAATTGGACTTTTTTTCTAGAAGGTATACAAACAGAAAACAGTTATTAGTCTATATGATTTTTTTTTTATTTGGTCGATGTATTATTTTTTGGCATACATTGGTGTATCCTTCAATAACACTTTCAAATAAGTCCATTTTAATCAATTAGACAAGCCATAAACTTAATTCATTGTTGAAATTAGCTATATTTAAAAATGCAAAATAACAACTTGAGAATTCCATGCACCCATATTGATAATTCAACATAGATTTTTTTTTCAATACATTGATTCCAATGTTTTTTTCGTTACCGATGAGAAAAAGAATTAAACAAATTTGTTGAAATTAAGTTAAGTAAAATCGTAGATAAACTGGACTAATTTATTGTTAAGTGTTTACAAAGGGAAATGCGGATATACGGATCGTCAAAATTTCACCGCTTACCGGCGCTTGCCTTGATTTTTGTTGAAATTCCTTCCATTTCGCAGGAGTTACCTCGCCTGTCACTGATCACGCACATATTAAAAAGCGTTTACGCTGCCTCACTCTACACGGCTTAGCACAGGACTGTTTACCCCGGACTACGACAGCATCATTCAGGGTCAAGGTTGTGCGTGATTCGACACTCGATTCTGATTGGCTGGTATTTTGTATATAACCAGCCGGCTTAACAATTGCTGTCTCTCAGTTCAGATTTAAGCACAGGAGGGAGAAGAGCGTGGCTGTGCGCTTACAACCTGACTTAAAACAGCTGATTTCTGCTATTTCCAAGGTACAAGTAAAACGTCTGGTAGACATGCAAGACTGATTGAAGTGTTGTTTCAATCAATGATAATTATAATGCATAATTTTGTTCGAGACCCTGTCGAATATTTAGGCCTGTTGTTTTTATTTTTATCAATGATGCGTGAAGACGTAAACAAACGGCTCCCGTTAGCCGGTCAGTGATCCTGATGACTGCGCGTACATTTGTGTACGTAGTGGTGCTCTCGGACTGGTTTTTTTTTTTTATATATTGTTCTGTTGTGTTTGTTCGATTTAACTCTTGCTTCAATTAATGCATTCCTGAAGTTTTTTTGTAGTGCCGAAAACGAAATTTCGCTTCGTGGAATGCATTTTTTTTAAAGTTCTGTCTCTTACCTAATGTTCTCCAAATTATATAATAACTGTTATAATGATTGTTGTATTGGGAGGTAACGTTTAAATTTAAACCCTACTGAAACTGAAACAGGCAAACATTAATTAAAGTACAGTATTATAAAATGAAAATTCAGAAAAATGTCTGGAAACTGTTTTGTTATGTCATCATGCATGCAGAATAATACCATGACAAAAATTGTTAAAATAAATTGGCTGAAGACATACTGAACTAAATAAAAACAGAAGAAAATGTAAAGATTTTTTGTGGTATGCCATGGACTTTAAAATAGCATTTTAATATTCTGTGGTTAGGCTTATTTTTCCCATAGAAAGGTGTTAGGTTTTAAATTCTGATTTCATGCAGTGTTGATCCACTTTTTTCACAATGTTTTTCATGACTTTGATTTGCATAATTTGGCATTTGTTTTATTTATACGATCATGTTTGGCGATAATATTGAGATATCTCTTTCATTTTGACTTAAAGGTTGGTGTCGTCAAACTGAGTGAGTCGACACCTGGATGTCATTACTATGTAACATTTTGCCATTTATAACTATAACTATATTTTGGCTGTTTCAAAAGTCATCGGGGCTAAAAATAAAAAAAGCCGGTGCACTGGATAATTTTCCTGCTGTCATGTCAAAATTCAATTATTATTTTTTTTTGAAAAAGTAAATTAATAGAGAATCAATTGGGAAAATGATGTAAAATGACAGATTGTAGAATATCTCTATTAAATATTTTAATTTTGGCTATTTCACCAATATGATTGACTATCTCAAGATTTATTATATGCTTGAAATTTTCTTGCAATCAAATTGTCCGGATCCTATACACGTGACCAGTCCTCAAAAACTCATGTAGACTGGTTATCAGGTGAATATCAATTTCTAAATAAAGCCTCTATGGAAATTCCCCGGAACCTGTCGTAGCCCATGCACAGTTAGACCGGAACGCAATATGTCAGATGAAAACAGAAGATGGCGGTTGGCGAACTCTTCGCCTCCGTTACATCTGAAAAGTTCCAAACTACTCGAAGATAAAGATGCTGGTAACACAAAAAGGACACCAAACACGCAGTGGTGTCCTCCATGCTTACCTTAAGGAAACAAATCTTAACGATGTCTCCGAAAACCGAACTGTTGGATTCAACTCTCATTTAGGAATGAAATAACAGCAAATTACCATGTTTTGTGCAAATTTCTTTTTTTGTTTTTATCAGAAATTAATAAGTCTATGGACTAAAAGGTGTTGCCTGTGTTTTGAAATTCGGTTATAAGGAATAACCAGGGTTATTTTTAGACTGATATGATATATACCGAAAACAAATTGTGTGTGCTTGTATGCATTAACCACTTCGTTGGTTTATAATTGCGGGGTCCACACAGTTTTGTCGATATATTCTGTCTTTTCGTATTGCAGATTTTTCTTCTTTTTTTTTTTTTTTCAAACATTTTACTTCCCCAGCCCATTTAGGATACTGCCGAGGTTGGGGAGCCCCGGGATCAGCATCTTTACAATCATGTGTCCTTATACAAGAGGGCTGTCATACTTTCTTTCATACTTACTAGTAATTATATTATTATTTCTTTATTTTTTCACTGCCTTATTTAACATTTTTACTTGCATTCAAACTTACATTCAAAGTTACCGTACACATTATCCTTACATACATATATGCATACACTCCCTTTGCCCCACCTCCAGGTGGATTACCCTGTACTGGGCCTCACTTCCGGGACAAGTCATCCTTGACCTTGGCTGTGTGTATTAATAGTAGCAAGATGGAAACACGCCGCGCTGTGGTAATATAAGGCCATAATATTAGATTTGACGGCGTATAAAAAGAAAATCGTCCTGAAATCTGATATATTCCATCTTTTCGTATTGCAGAGTTATCTGCTCTTGTGAGCAGGTATTGATTGTTATATCATCAGTTTGTGAGATTAACGTCATAAATTTATGAGAAAACAACGTAATTTTATCACTCAAACTAATGACGTAACAATCAATACCTGCTCACAAGAGCAGATAACTCTGCAATACGAAAAGATGGAATATATCAGATTTCAGGATGGTTTTCTTTTTATATGCCGTCAAATCTAATATTATGGTATGGGGTTGTCCGGCCGGCCGGTGTAAACTTTTGTTTGTCTGGCAGTCTCCTACATTTTTCGACCAATCTCTTCGAAACTTGGTATACATTATGATCATGATGTGAAGTTGTGTCTCCCTTAAAAGAATTTTGATTCAACAATTTTTCCATAAGTTACCCCTTTGCTCATTTCAGTTTTTGATTTTTTGTCTGGAGATCTCTTCCTACTTTTTTTGTTGGATTTCTTTGAAACTTAGTAGGCTAAATAATCATGACATGTTGTTGTGTTTTCTTGAAAAAAAGAACCTTTTTTTTTGCAAAAGTTATTGCCCTTTGTTTATTTCAGTATTTGATTTTTGTCCGGCAATCTCCTCCTACATTCTTCAATGGATCTCTTTGAAACTTGGTATACATTATAATCATGATATGAAGTTGTGATTTTTGCAAAAGTTCTTGCCTTTTGTGCGAAGATTTTCTCCTACATTTTTTTATAGCATGTCAGCTATCCAGTCTTAGAATGATGCAGATCTTATTTCAATGTAAAAAAGTATATAACACTATATGGCATTCGACGGGCGTATATTGTTCCTCCCCTCGGTACTCTTGTTACTTCAGGAAATAACATGACATGAGAGAATCTGTTCAATGTAGGAAAACTACATACATTTATGTAATGTATTTTTTTTCAGAACAGTTAAATCTCCACTCACCATGCCAGAGTTGTTGATACACAATGAAGGTTCCAATGGGGCAGGAGGACTCCCCCCTTCTCCCCCGGATCTACAGGAACGCAACTCCTTGACAGAAATGGTCAACCGAAGGATTGCGAGCAGGGACCCGTGGTTCTCTCTGGAATTCTTTCCCCCAAGAACAAACAATGGAGCTATTAATTTGATATCCAGGTAAATGATTTTACAATCTGAATTGCACCTGTTTATGATGGTATGATGAAATATGACCTTGATGGCTTCAAATATGACCTTGACCAGCCGTCAAGGTCACGGATGTTAATTTATGTGTTAAAAATTATATATGACTTCTTGGAATGACAGTGGCTCTAGAACTGACTGAGTTCAACTTCAACTTGGAGCCTAACCCCCCTGTATATAATCTTATCTGATGACTTAGTCCACCCCTCCTTCCAATTAGAGCAAGCACAATGCCTGGTGTAGGGAAGGAACAGTTGCTAGGTCTCGGACTGTTTGGTAATGCATCCGCTACACTAGAGAAAATCTCTACAAGAATTTGTATCTGTCTAACAGTAGTAACACTGTTAAGGAGAGCCTCTAGGTATATAGGTTACTATACACTCCAACAGACATCATCCTGACATTTTGTAAACAGCTACTCCTGAAGCAGTTTCATTGCATAATCCTCTAAAAGGCCAAATTGCAAAGTACATCTAAAAACTGGACTTGTGTAATGTGAATCGAGTCCCATCCTTTTAAGTGACATAAGACATGGACCTGATTGGCTGTACATGACATGACCACCTGTAGGCTCTAAGCTGTATCTAATAGGTGTTGATATGCTGACAAGTGAGGTGTGTATTATCCCTGTTAGTAAGTGTATTATAAACATGGTAGATTACATGTGTAAACACAGCCTTCTTCACCCAAAGTATTGTTAACTTACTTGTGTAGATTACATGTGTAAACACAGCCTTCTTCTCTCAAAGTATTGTTAACTTACTTGTGATAATAAACATGATAGATTACATGTGTAAACACAGCCTTATTTAGAATATAGCATCTTAAGAATAGAATATGACTAAAGTTTTTATTGGAATTTTGATATTGTTGTCACCACAAGTAGTACTTATCTTTTGATCAGTTACAGACTGACAATTGGTCTAATGGTAAATTTGAAGCCATTCCAGTTAAAACCTATTCCCTGAAAAGAACCAGTACATGTGTTTGACATCGTAAAGATGATTAAGGAACTGAATTACAGTGGCTTTTGGTTAATTGCAGTTGTATTTTTTTCTAATTTTGAAGTATAGGCAGATGGTATTTTCAACTATTTAGGAAATTAATTGATTTGAAGAAATTTGTATTGTTTCAATTTTTGACCACTGTTGAAGGTCATTTATTTTAACTTACAATTTTGATTCGCTGATATTAAGACAAACGTATACATGCTGAAAATTAACTAAGATTTATTATTTCTAAAATTTTCGAAGATTTAAGATTTTTTTTTTTATCACATAATGTACTGTGTTATTCAGTTGATATACCCATGTCATATTATTTTTTCATATTAAGCCATGTAATATGACCTATCGGCCCTGTGATTGGTTGTAAGTTTCAATTGATTCAATTGTGACGTCACGCCTAGGACAAGTATATGACGTCACAGACTTGCGCACTGGAGTCAAAATAGCAGCTTTTACATTTCAAGGTTGCGTGGAAATTGTCATTTTACACAAATGCCACAAATATTGATTATGAGATAAAAAGGATCTTACACTCGTTTTCATTTCATATGAAATTTATGAAACTCGTCACAAATTTTTCATTTAAGCTCGCCTCTGAAAAATTCTTAAACTCGTTTCATAAATTTCTTGTGATATGGAAACTCATGCAAGATCCTTAATATATTCAAAATAGTATTTTTGAATTTCAACCCTCATACTGCAGACCAAAAACTCAGGAAATATGTATGTTTAAAAGGAACTACAGGATTTACAACATTTGACCACTGTGATTTTGAAACAATGAAGGTAAAGGACATTAAATTCAAAATTTTGATTGGCTGGTACATGTAGGCAATTATAGGCTTTACTGGTACATAGGCAATTATAGGCTTTACTGGTACATAGGCAAGTATAGGCTTTACTGCAGGTACATAGGCATGTATAGGCTTTACTGCAGGTACATATGCAATGATAGGCTTTACTGCAGTTACATAGGCAATTATAGACTTTACTGCAGTTACATAGGCAATTATAGGCTTTACTGCAGGTACATAGGCAATTATAGGCTTTACTCCAAATATGAAGACCTTAGGGAGAGATTTGATGAGATCACTATTTGTTGATGATTTGTGCTGATTGACTAACTGATCACTTATAACTTCAACATTAGGATTGAACGTATGAAGGAGGGACAGCCTCTATTCTGTGATATTACGTGGCATCCTGCGGGTGACCCTGGGAACACTCAGAAGGCCACTAGCTCCACCTGTATGGCGGCCACCATGGTGAACTACTGCTGTGTGGAGACCATGCTCCACATCACATGTGGGCGCCAGACAGAGCAGCAAATCAAAGCCAACCTGAAAAACGCTAAAGATCTGGGCATCAGGAACTTGTTGGCACTCAGGGGAGGTAATCCAGACTTGTATCTTATTGATGTGATCAGTGGGTAATAATGATAGTGTCATTTACTAGAGCCGTAATTGATCAATGTGTCTGAAGGTTTATTGTGTGGGAGGTTGATCTATAATCTGCCTGAATCAACATTGACTACTTAAAATGACACTAGAACATCAACACTTTTGTATCATCAACTTAATATCTCATAGGTCTTATCATTGGGCTTTAATCAACAGCATTTCTGACAAGTCTGACTTTGGTTTCAGAGTAAGACCAGCTTCTGTCACTATCATCTATGCATTATGGTAGTGTGAATTGTGATGTGAGAGAAATAACACATGATCTAGTGCAGTTTACAGCATTATGGTAGTGTGAATTGTGATGTGACAGAAATAACACATGATCTAGTGCAGTTTACAGCATTATGGTAGTGTGAATTGTGATGTGA